CCATTAAAGTACATGTGTAATTGTTCTCCATTTAGAATCGTATTTATCGAATTAAGGATACCATTGAACATAAAAGATTAATTCCAAATGCTTAAATACAGACCAATTCTGTGATTCAAATAATAAAACGGAAGGCAAATTCGTTCTATCGGGCAATTAATAATTATTTTCTAAGGTTTGTTAGAATTCGTGTGACAAAAGTGTTTCATTTGCGTTTCCAGGATAATTGTAAAATATTTCAAGATTTCCATCGAGGCTTTCAGATTATTTATAGGAACACTATTGTCCGTACAAGATTCGTATCTGTATTTCATTTGGTGTATCCATAGATATCTGCATACAATCTACGTTCAAAAGTTGTTCATAAAAAAAACTGTTATTTTCATGCGTAACAATTTTATTCGGGTAAATATATGGGGTACTTTTTTTTTTTATAGTACATGAGTACCCTTCCAGATTATCTGAGATCACGATTGGTTTTAGTGATGTTGGTGTTGCCCCGTCTTTAAGTTTTCCATGCAGTGTCTTGTAGAATTCTGTTTGTTTAAGTCGTTTGTCTTTTTGATCACGGTGCTGTCTGTTTTTCTTCAATTTATGATTTTGAATGTTCCCTTGGTATCTTCAGTCTCTGAAGACATTTCCTTCGTTACTCTGTTACTAAATATACTTCATACGTCTTCTCTTGGTTTTCGAAGTTAGTTCACCATTCCCTGAGTTCCTTCCCTTTGTTGTAGACACTGTTATATCTTCTGAATCAATATAATTGAGGAACATTCAGAAAATACATTTGGAAAATATTTTCTTGACTCTTCAAAAACCTTGAATTTTTTACTAAACTCATTGTAAAAGTAGTGGAAAGTCTTTAAAGCAGTAGGACAAACAAGAAAAAATCAACCAAACCTCATCTTGACCAGAAAGTCGGAAATACTCTAGTGTAGCTGCAGGTTCATGGTGTCTTGTGGTATTGGTGTATCAAAAAAATGTACCAGATTCATACCGTCTTTCTGGTGCCACCCCCCATCCCACAATAAAAAACACAAAAAAAACTTGCTACAAAACATAGTCACGATTTGAACTTGTAACATGAAAATGAACACTCGGGTATAATGTTCTGAATAACAACTTCAAAAACATCCTTCGCCGTAAGAACTATCTTTCTACAATGCTACCACAAAGAAATTGTCATATCGTAAGCGTGTAAGCTAGGTAAAATACAGATAACTGATAAGAGTGAACACGTTATTAATACTAGGCAATTTTTAAGGTCTCATGAAACCAATATTTTGGTTGTGGAAGTCGTGTACTTTCAAAAGGATTAAGATTGCCTTTTAACATTTACGTTCTCAGAACTGCTGTTCCCAATTTTCCTTTTGCTTTGCATAATTATCACCATATAAATTTGCAGTTACTGAATGCCGACAATATCAACACACTTATTGCCATCACTCTTACACTTATATGACATCAGTTGACACTTTTCATTAAGTTCATTATAAGATTATCTAATATTATGTTCTTTTAGGGGAAACATTTTAAATTAGTGTCAAAGGTTGCAAGCTGACTTGTTCAAGCAGGAACTCTAAATTATTTTTTTTATGCCGAGTGTTTCTGTGAGGCTTTAAAGGAACTTAATCTGCTGATTACATATAAATTCTAAAGAACCTTGGTTTTGATGAGTGATAATTCTAAGGCAATTCTTTAAATGTTTCTCTTCGATTTTGCGTGTATTTTTCCTTCAAATTCATGTTCATCATTTGTAATGATATTTTTTTTACAATATAACAGAAAATGAAAAGAGATAAAAAAAAAATATCTTTTTTACTTTTTAGTTCAAGGTAAACATAACGAAAGTGTATGCAGAATATTAGATTTGTTTTACATCACTTGTTTAGTGAAACTCGACATAAAACTAGTTATCTATCCTTGATATTAACATATTGGTTCTAGTATGTATTAATGGATAGAAATTGACTGATATATTGTACACCCAACAACTGCGTCTTTTATTCTGACGCTTTTAGAAAACACGCATCTCGATAGCAGACCAGTCTATCCCTGAACCTTAACTTGTAATAATATGTAAAATAACATTGAAAATTAGTGAAGACTGGTACTACCGTCAATAAATTATCTCACCAAGGTCAATTTAAGCGAGCCCCCCCCCCCCCCCCCCCCTCAATAATGAAAATAAGAACTAAACTAATGTGGGTGGAGAAAACTCAGAAAAGCATTTAGTTATAAGATATATTCTATGTTTAAATTCTTATATTTGACTGTTAATAAATACCGGCTTTTCATTTGGAAATCTTAAAAACTAATTTTAATAGCTGATAAATGCATACGTATGATTGTCGCAGTCTCAAAACATATAGCTTTCAATAGGTTTGTTCCTGGTGAGAGAAAAATAAAAGTTTCTGCAAGCAAAGGGCATCTATAGGAAGTTTAATAAAATCACTATAAATAAACATGAATTTTCTTCTGTTTTATTGAAAGATATTTGTAAGTCAACTATCTTTGTAACTTTTATTTTAAAATACTAGTCTGAATAGGTCAACTCATAATATGATCAGAATTGTTCACACTCAGCAATTTTGAATGAAAATTGAAAATATTTTCATTAAATTTTGCACCTAGTTCACCACTGTCTAATTAAATCCACATCTCGAATCTTAACCGTTGTCACCTATAGACAATTATTTTTTTTTGTGGGGGAAAAAGGGGGGTTGGTAAACATTAATTCACCAAATTTTTGTGGGAAGAAATATATATATTTTTTGCATTTCAGTATCGGTTGTTTTTAAGCATTGAACATGATCATGTCTTCTTGTCCAGTTCATGATGTTGCTGTATGAAATCTTCATTGAAGTACAGTAACCGATATAAAGTGGAGGACGGTATGATTTCTTATCAGCAGGTTGAATATTTGAGCTTGCTTTAAATTACACCGAGCATTCTTTAATACGGTATACTTTGTTGATGATTTATTTTTAAGTGCTTTTCCTGTTCTGATGTTAATGTTACTCTTGTATGTACCGTACGTTCAGTTAGTTCACTGGTCGAGATATTTTTAATGGGGAGGATCGAGTGATGTCAAATCAAAGTGATTGTCCGCACTGAAAGGTAAAGATTCATTTTGCAGTGGGAAGTACGAATGTAACATGGCATTCTACTACGCATTGGATATGAATTGGTTAGACTACAATTATCATGATTATGGACAAAGGAAGATAACACCAATTTTAAAAATATTACTTTAACAATAACAACATTAATATTTTTGGAACAGGTACTAGATTCATGCACCATTCGGTTTTTGTAATTTTCTTGACAGCCGTTGTTATAAACATACAAATCATTTTGTAACTTAAATATATCGGAGTATATAAATTTCTTGAAATGTTCATGGATAGTATGTATAGAATATTGTGTTCAGTGTACTGTGTTTTGTTTATCTCAAAAGTCTGGAAAATTGATAACCATCAAGCCAGTCACATAAGGGTTTTGATTGCACGAAGGAAATCTTTACCCTAAAAACTAATTTACCCGACCACGTTTATATGCTTCAAGTCGGGAACCTCGACAGTGTTTGCCTAATGTCATATATTTTTGTTTTTTGGATAGTGATGGCAGTTCTTTGGCCGTTTCTGTTTACTTTATTCACAACTTTTATAGACTGAGGATGATTTTAATAGAGTTTGATGTATTGTATAGATATCAGTCTATTGTTGAACACTGTATGCTGTCCTTTAGACGTCTTTGTTTTTTTGTTGTTTTGGGGTTGCAGTTTCATTGAGGTATATTCTTCACCTTTTATTCATAATCTACAGTAAAATGAAAAGGTCTGTCATAAGGGCTGTTCAAAATAAAATTCATGGCACTTATAGGGTTCTCGTATATGAGATGTTAAAAATACCTTCTGTGGAGTTGCTTTTTCTCCTCTATGTTTTGACAATTTACAAGAATGGACATATACGTATAGATTGTGCTTTCTAACATTATTCATGATGTGTTACTGTGTATAATCTTTTCAAAGAAAACTTTTCAATATTGCTTTAATGTAGCCATTGTTTTCTCTTTGGTAGTACACACACAATTCAATAATACTTTTCTTTTTTATCTGTGTGTGTTAAATTCTATCCTTATTCTTTTGTTCTTCCTCTTCACCGCTCAATAGACTTTTTGTGCTGATGCAGCATAAAGTAATCACCAATCATCAATCTCTGAGCCAGATAAAGGGGATGTGTTTGAGTAAAAAAGCCATTTAGTATGTGATTGTAGCTGTGTTTTAATGGTTTTTTTTGTCTATCTAAATTTAATGATGATGATAAGATTTGTTTGACATTTGGTGGCAACTATAACATGCAAATCAGGACGAACAAATATAATTGTGATAATATGAACCCTGCAATGTACTAGACCTACATGTTGAATCAGATTGTTTTGTGTCTTCTGTTGTCTGCTATTCAGAACAAATCATGTATATTTGAGTGCAAAAGCCTAATCCTGCACATGTAATACACTTAAATTGTTAATATGACGGTTTAGTTACATTATTAAACATTCCCAAATCTAATCGAACTCATAAAGAAATTAACAACTGTAGGCCAAGTATTTTTTGAGTTTTGTGTTGATGGCAGATCTTTGATAGAATCTTCGTTTAATTATGCACAACTTTTTTCCAGTTGACGTAGAGCTTGATATATGGTACACACACTTGTTTTTTGTTGAAGACCATCAACTGACTTTTCAGATGTCTTTTTGTTTGTGTAGTTGGATTGCTGTTTCATTGACACATCTCACTTATCAATTTATTCATGTTTGTTTGCATGAATGTATTTTTATAATTTTTTCTCCTGAAAGGCAAAAATGTGAAATAAAATGGGTCAGTAGAAACCTCATGCTGGGAATTAGAATCTTTAATCAATTTCCATCTTTTTAGTCTTATTTACTGTTGTTAATATTGTTAAATACACTAAACAATTTTCCCAAATATAACATCGTTTCTAATTGTATGTAAATTTATTTGACAATACCATTCAGATATATAAGAAATTGTCAACAAGCAATTTACAGTTTTCCATATTTACATCTTACATTTTACTGATTGTATTTCAGCGAAGTTAGATGCACACATAATTAAATAGACACCCCTCAATGTTCAAATATTAAATTGTCCTCAGTGTTACAATATATACATATAAATTTATATATCCCATGGTAATATATCTATGTTGGTAAAATTAGATTAATTACAACTAAATCATTTGAATGTGTAGATAGTAAGTTTGCTTATTTATTAGGTGAGCATGAATTCTTTCCTATGGTTAAAACATTCTTTTTTACCTGATCGATGATTTGATTGGCTTACAAAAAAAATGTAGCTCCTCAAATGGTTGGTAAATAAAAGTAAGTTTGATTTCATGGTCGTCCTAACAAACTTGTACTTTTTATACACACAAATTGTTCAGTTGTAAATAAAAAAATATTTCAAGTTTCCTTTTCCTCATCCATCATTTATTTAAGGTGCTATACCTGATCTTCTAACAAATATGAGGATAGTATGGTCAAAGTTAAGACCTTTGCCTGAATCTGTCTATATAATCAAAAATCTTAAAAAAAACAAAATTGTAGAACTTCCAGCCTTGATTTTTAATCTACTAAAACAAGAAACAGGCATATCTTTATAATCTATGAAGCCATATCTTAAATAAATGATTAAATCCTTTGACGATGACAGAATGACAATAAAGAACTGAATCAACCAATGTACACAATGTTATAGTATGCCCTGCACACTTTCACCCAATGATTTCATCACCAACGTATAATAATAACAGATACTTTATTTCACCCATTTTAACATTGCAAATCATTTTATGAACTGTTTAATTAAAGGAAAAAATTATCTTAAATGAAATGACTAATACCTAGCTAAGACTTTAATAATACAAAAAACACATAAATATGTGTTGGATTTCACATTCACAGCTGACCTATTAACTTACACCAACACACTTAACACAATGTGTTATCCAATCATTTTGATGTTGCACTTTCCACTGAAATTTGAATTTGTTGTAATAATAAAATATACGTTTTGTTTGATTGATACTCTATATGACTGTACACATACACCAAGACAGACACACAGAATCAGCATGAACATGTTGAGATACACAAGTTAGGTTACAAAAATAAATCTGCAACAGTTTTGAATAACAAACATACTAGCTGTTCATTAAAGAAAAAAACTTGCTACACAAATGTTTGAGACGTGATTATTTGACGGTAAAAATAAAAACCTTTAGAGGTGGAACAGAATGTCAAGTTACAACATCTGGATCTCCGTAATTAATTTGCTGACATTCAACTTTACAGATCAAGATTACGTACTTGAATTTTAACATATGACAACAGTTTTGATCAGTGTTGTCAGGCAAAACAATGCGGAAATCAAAATTTTTAAACTCAAGCTTCCAATAAGTCTAAAAATTTTGACAACACTCACAACCTTAATTAATAGTTATGATTTAAACATATATCAGACTTGCAGAAATCTATGAAAAAAAATGTTCTTCCTAAAAAAATTTGTTTAGATTATCATAAATTATCCCATATATACCCTTTCTGTTTTATATCATAATATTTTTGCACTTTCAAGTGTTTTAATTCAAAAATTTCTGCACACTGCTTATTTGTAAGGAAAACTTGTAAAACATCATGGAAATCAATTATGGCTTATAAATAATGTATTCTTGGTAATAAAATAAATAGTATTTTCAAAAAGTCAGTAAATATCACTGATCATTTCAACAAGCATAGCAATAAATAAACAACAAATTGAATTATTTCATGTACAAGCACTTAGGAAATGAAACAAACCAAGTCTGTAGATATCATGTAACTACTATTGAGACTTAACATAGGTTCTAAATATATATCAAAACATATTACATCTCTTCAAATGACCGTTTACATCAAATAAGGCTAAAAATATATATTTGTTTCCTGCCTCCTTGCAGAAAAAATAGGGTAGATGGGTAGATAAAATATTTTTGTCTGAACATTCTAAATTTACTTTATAGGGAAATATTCTGGACTGAACATAAATGACCATACAATGTGATAGAGCAGACATGAATGTTTAGGGTAGGTAGAGAGGCAGAAAACAAAACTACATTTTTGGGGGCCAAAATGATTGGGAAAGGTTTCAAATTTCAAACCCGTTAAAACTTAACAATAAAGTACAGAAAATGTAACAGGCAACAAAAAATAAACTCTTAACTTTTAAACATTGTGTTAAGTAAACTCTGCCTTTAAGGTTTACTATTAAAACAAATACTGTACTGAAGGAAGGAATCCTTTGTGGGTTTTTTCAGAACCTTGTTAATTTCAATGACTCTGATGTTTTATTTTCATAGTTAAGAACGAGACCAGTAATTAGTAAGTTATAAGTGAAAGCCAGCATTTGGTGTTGTACAACATGTTCTTGTATTGCAGCCTCATTGACATTTCTCAAACATCTTTCAATTATAACAAGATTTAGATTTCAATTATCAAAGGACAATTACAGTCTCAACCATTGGGTCCTGTACATAAAGTTAAAATAATAATACTCTGCACAATACATATTTGTAGATGATCAATTTCAGATATAAAGCAGCATATATGTACACATATACAAACTTCAGTGAATTCTATTAAAAACATTTTTTTAAGGAAATACAACTTTACAATTGATTTCAACTAGCAATCCATGTAGAAAACAGCTAACTTAGTTGAAAATGTTTACAAAGGTAAGAAAATATACAACTCCATCATTGTACATACATGAAATAATACAGCCATTATCTGTTAAAACATTCAAAAAACCGTTATTGCCTATCCACACTACATACATGTAAGGTGGAATAAATACAAGTGACATACTTGTTTAGAGTAATTACACAGCACATGTATATGTTACATGTACTTTACCTCAATATCACTTCCTGTTATTTAATACAATTTCCCATAGATATGCCTTTAGGTTATTGTGTACTTTGAAAACATTCAATTTCATGTAGTAAGAAAATGTAATCAAAGGCCATCTTTTTCACTATTGACAATTATTTCACAGAACATTTAAACCACTTTCTTTCTATATAAGACAAATTCAGCAGAAATGTTAACACAATAATTCTGAATATAATCAAATTGCTTACAAATAGTTTGGTGAAAATCATTTCATGTCATAAATAATGTATATACATGTACATTACAGGGAGTGAAAAAAGTATATCAATGAAGTTTTATTATTACTTGAGTATCAGTTTTGTCTGAAAACAAGTCGACTAAATCACCAGACTTAACTAATCAAATAGCAAATGTTTCATGCATTTGTTCACTTACATTTTTGTAAGTCTTGAAAACAAATTTATACCACAAAGCAGAACTTTTTCATAAACAAATAAAAATTGTCCTATAAAAGTATTTCACAGAAGTCAAAATGTTTGTTTCTGTTTCTTACTACACCTACCATCATATAAATATTATTGTAACCAAGAAATTTAGAATTTAATTTAGAGAAACATTTATCTATCCATTACACTGTTTTATTTGTACTTTGTAAACCGGTTTCTCTAAAAACACAAAATTTTCACAAAATCGAAGGTCACTGCATGATTTATGAGTTAGGAAAATGTAAGATTTAAAATCATTTGCCAAAACAAAGTTATAACAAATTAATGATTATTTGACTTTGGTGTAATTAAGTTAGATTTTATCTGTGCCAGGTATTGGAAGGTTTTAGACATTTTGTACAATAAATTAAGTTTATTTTTTCTATACATACACTTTTAATTTATTCTAATATCACATAACAAAGTAAATGATTAAAAACCCAATTGTAAGATTTAAGCAATAGATCATTAATAGCTCAGAATTTCTGTATAAATATCCTGTTTCCTTGTAAGAGCTATGTTATAAGAAGTATGACCTATATGTTATGGTTGCTCTATCCATGAAAAATGTTAAGGGATAAAATGTTGACGAGATATCATCTAGAAATAAAACATAGATAAAACAGCATGTATAGACCCACAGATAATGTCACAATGAAGATCACTTGCTAAATGCAGCTACAACAGCCCACAGTACATCATTGGTCCCTTCTTTCATAGATTCCTGGTCAAATTCAAGGTCAAGTAATTCACGGACTCGTTTCATTGCAATTTCATAGTCGTCATCAGAAAGTGGAGCAAAAGCGTTTTCTAGGACATCAGAAGAATGTGCAAGGTATATTAATGCCAACATGCGTTTCTCCATTCTGTGTGCATTGTTTGTCCATCGACTTAATACAGATTCCTGTACTTTCTTGATTAATTTCTGTTTGATATTTGAGTCAGTTAATGGATGAGTGGTCATATCAAACAGAAGGAAATTCTGTTTTTCTGTTGTACATACTCCTTTTTCTACCAAATTCTTGGCTAGTCTCTCTCTTACATTCCTCAACTGATATCGCAGTTTTAATGGATTCCATGTTTCACCTGAAAAAATAACCATATAATAACAACTTACATAAATAAATCATTATAAAATTGAGAATTGAAACGGGGAATGTGTCAAAGAGACAACAACCCAACCAAAGAGCAGAAAACAGCCCAAGGCCACCAATGGGTCTTCAACACAACTGTTTTCATAAAAACAAAACAAGACAAATACTGTAAATAAAGTTATTTTCATCATATTCTTATATTCATAACCCCCAAAAAGCTTTATGATTATGGTTGAAAGTAAAACTAAGAAAATAAGTTTGAAAATCACACAAAATTCCTGTAAATCACAATGCTATGCTAATTTTGTATACTGAATATAGAGATTATCAATTGAACCTATAACTTTGTGTGCAGTTTTAAACATTTACTTTATTATCAAACTTAGGGAAGTACAATGTTAGTTAGTCTTCTGCTGGTTGACTTAACCATGTTAACAAGACAAATTTGGAGATTAGAAAAACTAATCCTAATTGACCTCAATTCAAGCATACCTAATAATTTCATACTTTCTGAATAGAAATTATATGATATGTTTTCCAACATTTATTATTTTCCTCATGATATTTTAAAATATCTCTGCAGACAGGAAGATCATGTGCATTCTTCTGCATTGATTCTTACATAGAATTTCTTCATTTTATCTTGTTTTATCACTGTCCATGGTAGGAGGGGTGCTGGTTGCATACTCCACATAAATACCAGATTATGATGTTTATCATGGATATATTCCTGTATGACGTCAAACCTTGTATGTGGTTGTGGATGTCTGTTGTATTTTTGTAATGACTTGCTTATCATGAATTAAAAAATAAAACAAACCAACATAATATCATGCATCCATGTGATTGCTAATCTATCATGAATTAAAAAATAAAACAAACCAACATAATATCATGCATCCATGTGATTGCTAATCTATCATGAATTAAAAAATAAAACAAACCAACATAATATCATGCATCCATGTGATTGCTAATCTATCATGAATTAAAAAATAAAACAAACCAACATAATATCATGCATCCATGTGATTGCTAATCTATCATGAATTAAAAAATAAAACAAACCAACATAATATCATGCATCCATGTGATTGCTAATCTACTTCCTGTTTCAACATGTTGCCTTTACTTCAAGGGATCAACAGTTAGGAAATTCATAAGTTCTTACCAAAAAGATCAGAAAAGAGGTAAACCAAAGACCAAAGATTCAACACACGCAAACAATAAGAGAAAATTGACAGTAACAAACAAGTTCACAGATTTGTTTAAGCAATCTGGACACATAAGAGCTTTCCTGAATAATGATCATATTTTTTCAATCTTCTAGTTTATCAGACAGAAACAATACACTGATCAGTGGAAACAACAAAAAAAAGATGAACATGTCAGATTACAGTCTTCTTCTGAACAAACCCACTCTGGAAAGATTAAAAGTCTTCTTCCAATCACAGAACACCAAACTATACTTTAAACATGATTATTGGATGTGAAGTAAAATAATGTTGATATTCTAAATAAGCATGCCAAGAAATTGCCTCAGCTAAAATTCTGCAACCCCCCCCCCCCCCCCCCCCCCCATGCAGCCAATCACAATGAGGATGTATACTACCACTGCCTAATGTGTTCTAAGCAACACAGACTAGGTCATACACTAATTTGTTAAAATTTAATATTTAACTGCTGCCTACTGTGTTCTAAGCAACACAGACTAGGTCATACACTAATTTGTTAAAATTTAATATTTAACTGCTGACTACTGTGTTCTAAGCAACACAGACTAGGTCATACACTAATTTGTTAAAATTTAATATTTAACTGCTGACTACTGTGTTCTAAGCAAAACAGACTAGGTCAAAAGCAAAACAGACTAGGTCAAACACTAATTTGTTAAAATTTAATATTTAACTGCTGACTACTGTGTTCTAAGCAACACAGACTAGGTCATACACTAATTTGTTAAAATTTAATATTTAACTGCTGCATTTTTCAACTGTTGCATAAAAGTACATTTGTTAAATTACTAAATACTCATGTAAATAAAGTCTAAAAGGAGATATGGTATGAGCTGTTTGCCATGTAAACCCCTAAGGGCAAAGATGTATACAACTATGTTACTTGTATATATAGTATTTAACAGTAAGTAGCCTATGAAATGGCACATAAAATTGTGTGCTTTAGCATTTTTATTGGGGGGGGTGTCTTCCCTTTTGGAGGTTTCAATGTTGACACCTACATGTATGAAAGCTCTACAAATTTATTGATCGATACATTTACATATTTAAGACTAAATAAAAATTGACAACTAAAAATTTGATGAAGAACTCAATATTCACAAACTGACATGTATATCATGTATACATTATACTGTATTTTTTTTCTGGTAAAAGGAAGACAACTCTCTTTTTTTTTAAAGTTTCATCATCATCGAAATTAGTCTGATACATGTGTATCATTTAAGTAATATAAAAATAAGATGTGGTATGATTGCCAATGAGACAACTGTCACCCAAGTTCAAATGAAGTGGATATAAGTTCCTCAGGCAATACAAGGAAAGCTGTCTAAATAAAGCCTAAGCTGCATATCAAAGGTCTACCCACATCTATTTTTTTGGCTTACAAATCCTTATCAAAATCTTAGTATGATAATGTTTGTCAACATTCATCGTCATTGCAGAACTCATTTTATTGGATGATAAAATGCTGAGACAGATAATTTGCCTTTCCATCCTTCACATTGCTTTTCTTTAACTGTTTCAAGCAATATTAAAATGCACATGATATCAAACGGATGCTGCACAGTCAGCAATTGATGTTTTGATGTAAAGAAATTCAGAAACAGAGAGTTATTCATTTGAGTGTTTAGTTTATCACTTCAATAGTTTTCTCTTTAGCTACTATAGTTTTGGCTAAAAACCACAAAAAATGGGATTAAAATCCACATTTAAAAAAAATTATAACTCCTATAAGGAGAAGATAGATGATTAGTTCATGTACATTTGTAAATAGATGGTGTTTATTCCCACTTTATGCACTATTGGCAAGATCTTGGCATCAGTTTTTATTGGAAAAATCTGGAGTGCTTGGAGGAAACCACCAACCATCGTCTGGAAAACTGACAAATCTAGTCAATGAAGATTTGGAGTGGAATGCACCTTTCATGTGCGGGGTTTGAACTCACAGCCTCAGTGTTGACAGTCTACTGATACAGTAGATGAACTACTTAGACCACCTGGCCACTACCGCCCCCTTATTATTAGATCTAGTCTATTGAAAGTTCCTCTATATCATTTATTTTTCTCAAGGTAATAGACAAAATTAAAGAAAATTTTTGCTATTAAGAGTTTCTATCTATCTATTATAGTTTTCCAAGATAATAGACAAAACCAAAAAAAAAAATTGGGTAATAAATCATCATTTAAGGCATGTACAAATGTAAGTGCATTAAATACTAAAAGGAGTTGTATGAGATTTTTGAATAAAGAGCTGTGCCACAGATATAAACAATTCATCAAAGTTTCATGCAAATTGGTTAAAGAGTTTTTGAGTTATTCTCTGACATGTTGACGACGGACAGAGGTATACCACATACGTCCCATAAACGGGCGTATAAAAAGAATCCCGACCGACTCAAATTTTAAGACTGGAATGAGAAAACATACATATTTTTGTTTGTCAAACCAAAAAATGTTCTTTTCATACATGTGTTTGCACCCAGTCCTTTAGCAAACTTCTGCTTACAATAGAATAAATTTTATACAAAAAATATATTTATTTTTCATCATCTAAAGTTTTGTACAACAGCATGGAGTACATGTACTTCACTTCACCTACCACTTAAATATTCTATCCAACTTTGAACTGTTTCAGCTGGTTCTGTCTCTTTAATGTGTTTTAATGCTTCATCCAGTAAAACATCACCTGTAGGAGCTGGATTCTTTAGAAGGATTTTACGATTTAGTAAACTTCTTCTACGCATTCCTGCTTTCTCTAGTTCTACCCGTCCTCGTAACCCAAGTTCTATTAATATACAGCCTCTCAGACCGGATGATATGCAGTCATTCCAGAATGAAGTGTAACCCTGTAACATAAATTTATGCATGTAATTCAAAATAATAATTCTTCCAAGTTTAAAAGTAGTTTGATTACACTTTTTTTTAAGTACAGCCCCAACAATTCTGAGGTTGTGTCCACTTCATTTTTTTTCAATTATAATATTTAAATTGTACTTTGTATTGTCAACCTAGTAAAATGTACATGTAAAGAACATGTACACTGTATGTGATGTCAATGATGAAAAAGTGTTTTATATTCCAATCCATCTGCATACATGTAGATAATTTCATTTAATAAGAAAAGAGTTGTAGATGCTGCGATCTGGCAAGTCTGACTTAAAGTTAAACATCCACAATGTAAACTATTACATTAAATACAATGAACATGACACATTACTAGTTAACATGGGCTACAAGATTGGTGCGGACTTTATTCATTTCATACACATGATACACGTAAAGACAGGAAATGCGTAAAATAAACAATTCAAATAACAATTATAATGTTAGTTTTATCCTCATCTGTAGATTAAACAACAGCTTGTGTAATTGCTTCTTTATTTATTTTTTTTAATTATGAAAGATCAAAAACTATCTGAAAATTGTTAAAGCAACAAACGTGTTATTGTTTGTTATAGATATAAGTTCATAAGTTTTTAAAGTTATAACCAATCAAAACACCATTAAAAGAATATTGAGAAAACTTGAAACAGAAATTGTTTATTGTGTATTCTTCCAGCTTAATTACATGTACAAAGTTTTTAACAATGTACGAAATGAACCTCTGAAATTTTAAGTTTTGCAAAAAAAATATATATTATAAAAAAAAGTTAAAATATTTACAAACAGAAATGAAAGAAAACTGTAAAAATAATATTAGGTGCCAGTTGAATTATCAAATGCGAAATGATTTTAAATAGGTGCTGATCTGACTTGTTGCCGATTTGACTTTTTCTATAGGTACCAAATTGACCACGGGCCGATTTGACTTGTACCCATTGCGCCCTGCCTTTAAAAAAATTGATTATATTTCATTTTATTCCTTTTGTAATAATCCGCTATTAAGTAATAAATTCCTTGTCAATATTGCGAGCATGTAGAATATACTGAACAGTCCAAAAGTAGGTTTACCTGTCGATAACAGCTGATTAGTACACAATAATTAACGGTGATTTGATAATTCATTTAATAAAAATCTATATTACATTCATGACATTATGAGTTTCTGATTCTTGTCGAAATATAATATAGGAGCAATTTCATCGGAAGGTAACAAGAACTTGTTGATAAATATTCCGTATCAACTTCACAAATAATACACTATGGTCTTGAAGTATAGATTTTGCGTTCTGACGTTGTTTATCATTTTAATAACGTGTTATAGTATTCTTTTATTTATCTTTATTAATATTACTTTTACTGTTGTCTTTTTTTTAAGATATCCATTTGACGTGACTCTGTGCTTATGTATCCCCTCATACTTTGAACGACAAAATTATTTTATTTATTAATATTACTTTTACTGTTGAGTCTGTTTTTTGTGATATACATTTGACGTGACTCTGTACTTATGTATATCGTCATACTTTGTACCACACAATTATTTTATCTTATTTATTAATATTACTTTTACTGTTTTTTTGTTATATCCATTTTACGTGACTCTGTGTTTATGTATCCTGTCATACTTTGAACGACAAAATTATTTGATGTCTACCTGTGAGAATTTCAAACGCACGATTTTACGCAGTACTTAAACCTTCTATCCTTTATGGGTGGATTTTACATAGATAAATAAAATCGTATAATATAAGCAAAATGAGGATGTTAAATTTGATGTATGCCTTTTTGTGCTTCTTCGTTACATTTGTTTGTTTTTATAGTGATTAAGATGATAACACAATGTTGACTGCTGTACCCCTATTTTTGACATTTTTACCTATTGTGTCTGTTTTGTTCACGCATCGTTATCAATATAATGGAATTTGATGCTACTGTCATACAAGTGAGAGGTTTAGCTAGCTATAAAACCAGGTTCAATCCACCATTTTCTACATAAGAAAATGCCTGTACCAAGTCAGGAATATGACAGTTGTTATCCATTAGTTTGATGTGTTTGTTTTTTTGATTTTGCCATTTGATTGGGGACTTTCCTTTTTGAATTTTCCTGGGAGTTCAGTATTTTTGTGATTTTACTTTTTTCTGTAGACGGATTTGGAAATTATGATTTTTGTTTTTTTTCTGAAAACACACTTATTTAAATGTGTAACCTCTCTATCTTTTAATCCCAACAGTAAGATTTCTTCCATTAAAGTTAAACGAGTTTCTTTTGAGTCGTGTTCCTCTTCTTCATCAGGATATCCCGAAAGATCTTCTTGCTGTTCACTTGAATTTGCTTCGTCTGTTCTTACATTATTACCCCGTCGTTGGACTAAGCCTCCACCTCTCTGAGAAGCCATTTTATCTAATTTTACAGCATATAAGAGGCCTATAAGTTTGTTTAGCCAAAAAAAACCTCAGTCACTTGCAAAGTCTGGCCATCAAAATGGCCGTCTTCGTTGACGTAAACATCAAAACATCCGAGATTTACGAAATAATTTTAAATACCTAAGAAATTTGAAAACTCTGTCAGATTTTTGTTCAACGGTTCAACATATCATTTTGATTTAAAAATATATTTATGTAAATTAAAAAATTAAAATTATTTTTTTAATATAATCTAAATCTGTTTTACGTTTGGAATACTAAAAGTGAAGTCAATTATGGAACATTTCCCGGAAAAAATCTCGAGCGATGAATTTTTGTATGTTTTCGTTACTGTCATTCAATTTCCATCACAATTTAGTGATATCATTTTGAACATATCATTGAGTTAGTTTTTGTTTTTACCTTGATTTTTATCTTCTAAAAGGTTTTATGAGATTTGAACATCAGTAAACTACTGTTGCCTCTAAATGCGCCTTTTATTTTCTTTTTCTGTTCTCACATTTTGAGCTATCTTCAAGCATATTTTTTAAAACTAGACACAAGTTTGTTTAACCGTTTATATCGCCTGAAGCAACATCAATGATTGTCTCGGGTTATCTATACTTTTCATTGGAAATTTAGTATTAAAGGCAAATCCTTTATTTCTTTTATCAAAAATAAAATCCCATGTTGAGCATATGTTTTACATATACGGCAAGATTTATAACCTAGGTTTTCAAAAACTGGTAAACTTGTGTTGCTTTCTGATGATCAAATGGTCACATAGTCGTCAACAGGTCACAAGTCATGGAAATCTGACCTGAAACTTTGGGAAAATGCACAGAATTAGTCAGCAGCACTACACATATGTAACCACACACATTTGTATTCCAGCATTCTTGTATACAAAATACATGTTCTGTTGAAATTTCTTGACTGCCAAAAGTTGCACTCTACATAATCTTAATTGAAGAGTAAAGGCTAGTATTTGTGGTGAAATTATTGAATTTGCCATTTTTTCCTGATTTCAGAAGTAGAAGGTCACAATGATCTGTATATACGTAAGGTACATGTGGTATAGATAGATCATATACAATGCTCGTAAAATATGTCTATGTCTTATTGAAATCTGAATAAAAACTTTCTTTTTTTAATTTTGACTGGTCTTCTTGTTTAAAATCTACCTTTTTAGACTCGGAACGATTAAGATCTTGACGTTGTGATAAAACTGATAATATACCGGTATAGCATACGATCTTCAACAACAGACACATGTCTATATATATTATATGATAGACATACGATCTTTAACAACAGACACATGTCTATATATATGATAGACATACGATCTTCAACAACAGACACATGTCTATATATATATATGATAGCCAAACGATCTTTAACAACAGACACATGTCTATATATATATGATAGACATACGATCTTCAACAACAGACACATGTCTATATATATGATAGACATACGATCTTCAACAAGACACATGTCTATATATATGATAGACATACGATCTTTAACAACAGACACATGTCTATATATATGATAGACATACGATTTTCAACAATAGACACATGTCTATATATATGATAGACATACGATCTTCAACAACAGACACATGTCTATATATGTGATAGACGTACGATATGCAACAACAGACATATGTCTATATATATATATGATAGACATACGACCTTTAACAACAGACACATGTCTATATATGTGATAGACATACGATCTTCAACCAGACACATGTCTATATATATGATAGACACTTCTTCACAATGGCAAGTCGGACTCTGTACTTGTAATTTACTCGGTTGCATCTCAAACAGACGTGAGGCCACTCAATTTGTCAAAATAAAAATCCCAAACTTGATGGCATGTACTCCGGCAGCGAAATCAATCTGTATTACAAAAATTCCAAACGGAAAGTCCCTTATCAAATGGCAAAATCAAAAGCTCAGACGCATCAAACGAATGGAAAACAACTGTCATATTCCTGACTTAGTACTGGCATTTCCTTGTGTAGAAAATGGTCAGGTGGATTAAACCTGGTTTTATAGCTAGCTAAACCTCTCACTTGCATGACAGTCGCATAGAATTCCATTATATTGACAACAATGTGTGAGCAAAACAAACAGACATAATAGGTAAAAATGTCAAAAAATGGGGTACAGCAGTTAACATTGTGTTATAATCATAATCATCATAAAAAACAAACAACTATGTCTACAAAGAAAAACAAAATGGCATATAGACATTCTATAGACAAAGCACATGAGAAAAATGGAAGACAAGAATACAAAAAATGACCATAGTACAATAACACAATGCATGGCGGGATGAAAAATACAGAACCACGCTAAAAGGATATTACCAGAAATGGACTAAACAATAAAGGTTAAGATGATAAACAACGTCAGTGCATAGAATCTATACTTCAAGACAATCATGATTCATTTGTGACGTTGATACGGAATATTTATCAGCAAAATCTTGGTATCTTCCGATGAACTTTTTAAGTAAAAGGACGAGACGTTCTTTGACATAACCCTGGTTCATCAACTTTCTGCTCAGACACTAGTGACGTTTTATAAAGTCTGAGTAGCTGCTGCAAACTCTTGAATACCGAATGAGTTGGAAAATGTATATCCCATATACACGTGAGTTTGTATATTGCTGCTAAGATGGGAGAAATTTATAATATATAGGAATGTCGACAATTTGTTGAAAAAATCTACCTCCAAATTCAACAAATATGTTGTCAATAAACTGTAAGTAAGTAAGTAAGTAAAAGAGAGGCGAAAGATACCAAAGGGACCGATAATAATCTGACAACGCCATGGCTAAAAAAGGAAAAGACCAACAGACATACAACAGTACACAAAACACAACATAAAGAACTAAAGACTGTGATCTCAAGTGCTCTGGAAGGGTAAGCAAATCCTGCTCCACATGTGACACCCTTCGTGTTGCTCATGTAAGTACAAACCCAGTGATAAGTCTAATTCGGTAAATAAGTAAGTAATAAAATTGAGAATGGAAATGGGGAATGTGTCAAAGAGACAACAACCCGACCAAAGAAAAGAAAACAACAGAAGGCCACAATTGGGTCTTCAACACAACGAGAAAATCCCGCACCCGGTGGCGTGCTCCAGCTGGTACATTTGTAAATCATTTATTATAGTGACATGTGTGAATATGTTCAAATTATAAAGATATTATATACGAGAGATATGAATACACCCTTCCCAATGGAACTGAGTCTCCTTAAATAATATTAAACACGTTTAAATTTTCACGTTCTTGCAAATAACAAATTGTTCATGAATTTATCTTCAATTCTGTTAATTATTGTTATTATATCTGTCTGGTCGTCATGATCCTCCGGTGGCGTGCTCCAGCTGGTACATTTGTAAATCATTTATTATAGTGACATGTGTAAATATGTTCAAATTATAAAGATATTATATACGAGAGATATGAATACACCCTTCCCAATGGAACTGAGTCTCCTTAAATAATATTAAACACGTTTAAATTTTCACGTTCTTGCAAATAACAAATTATTCATGAATTTATCTTCAATTCTGTTAATTATTGTTATTATATCTGTCTGGTCGTCATGATCCTCCAGGTTCCTACTACTAGTATGTCTTAAAATTGAGAAATGGGGAATGTGTCAAAGAGACAACAACCCGACCAAAGAACAGAAAACAACCGAAGGCCACCAATGGGTCTTCAACACAGCGAGAATTGTAATAAGCAGCTGGGTATTACGTGATAGTTTGGCTCTGAACCCATGTTGCTCATCACAAAGTATATGATTTTGTTCAAAGAAGTTCATGATTATACAGTGTAGCTTATATGTACTAGGGAGACAAGACGAAAGTTAAATGCAGTGTGCTTTTGTTCTTTCTTATAGAATAGGACTATGTTGGTTGTTCTCCAGTCTTTCAGGTACGGATCTTTGATCGAGTAACAGTTGGTATGATTTAGAATTTAAGTTGAATGATGATATGATGAAAGCTGGTATATAATCTTGACCAGTAGCTTTAGGTGGTCTGAGGCTACTAAGGAGTTTATGACACCTTTCTTATCGTATGGAAAGCCTCAGCTGTCATATATTAGAGATTTACAAAACGTTATGATGAAGCTTAAAATGTAAAGTTAAGACAGCGTGATGTTGAATTGAGTCATCAAAATGCTAACTCTAAATTACAATAAGCTAAGTTGAATTTGCGCAATGTTGACTTGCAATGACAAGTGCTTTAGTTGTGATAGTATAATGATAAGTCACCATGTTGTGATGATATGCCAAACACACGTAACGTTGGGTTTGAAGTACATGATGTGAAGTTGACGTTGCATGATGTTAGCTTGCAGATGGATACTGCTCAGTCATCCACTTCGACAGCTATGATAACATATAAAATGAATAGCTAAAATGTATGGTGCTGACTTGTTATTAATAAATGTTGAGCTGAGATAGTACGATGCTACATCATTGTGATATTACGATAGGTCTATCATGCAATCTGTTGATTTAAAACACCATGATGCACAGTTGAAAGTATATGATGTTAAGTTAAGATAACACGATGCTACACCACTATATTGAAACAAAAGGCTTACCATACAATTTGTTGACTTAAAACAACACGATGCAACGTGTTAAGCTAAGATGCTCACTTGAAACTACACGACGTACAGTTGAAATTTTGTAATGTTAAGCTACGATAGCACGATGTTATATCATTATAATGTCACAATAGGCTTATTATACAATTTGCTCATTTAAAACTACACAACGTACAGTTGAAAGTACGTGATGTTAAGCTAAGATGGCACGTTGTTATATCATTAGAATGTCACGATAGGCTTACCACACGATATGCTCGTTTAAAACTACACGACGTACAGTTTAAAGTACGTGATGTTGAGCTATGATAGCAATATCTTATATCATAATAATATCACGATAGGCTTGCCATACAATATGCTCATTCAAAACTACACGACGTACAGTTGTAAGTACGTGTTGTTGAGCTAAGATAGCACGATGTTATATCATTATGACGTCACGAGAGGCTTATCA